GGGGGGGATCATAGCATCCGACCCTCCCCTATCCCCCCTCCTCACCCCACGACCCGCAACGTAGCCTCGCCCCGCCCCGTCGCCACTCACCATACGCCGCGTCGACTTTCGCTAACTCCAAGACACGACGTCAAACTGTGGCGCCCGGAGCCGGGGCGGTTATAGTGCGTTCGCGTGTACAGTGTCGGACAGAATATCTCGAACAGGGCAACCACACTTTACACGTGCATGCTTTCGCAGCGTTGTTTTGGCGAAAATACGGGCGATGCTTACATATTAGACAGTTGGCCAGACTGTCTCTGACAGAAGTCAAAGTTTCCTCCGGACCCCTTTTACGAAAGAAGTTTTGCATTGACACACATGCAAACACTCAAAACAACAAGATAACTAATCTTAAATAAAAAACAGTTTTTAGGCCACGAACATTATTTTTGAAACCCTGAAAATTGGCTTTCTTGAGACAACATGCTGCTTCAATTTGTTAAGAAAATTTTAGTTTTTTGACTCGAGATAATTTTCTTGCCCTTGCAGTTATTCTGTTTTTAATGCAAGCAAAATTATTCCTTGGCCCAAAGTAAAACTTTTCTTGCCATTTTTTCAAGAATACCGTGTAATGCTGCCGCGAGTGCTCACTCACCTGTACAGCATGCGTTCCTGGCGGTCCGCCTCCATGTAGATGCGGTAGTACATGCAGATCATGATGACGCCGGGCACCCAGAAGGACACGGACGACGACACGACGGCGTACGGCTTGTTGACGGTGAAGCCGCACGTGTCCGGGTGCAGGCGCCGGAACTCGAGGTGCTCCGAGGTGGTGTACCAGCCGAGGAAGATGGGCAGGAAGGAGACGAGGGCGGGCGCGCACCAGACCACGGCCAGCATGACGCCGAGCCGGGCCTGCGTCATGATGAGCGGGTAGTCGAGCGGCTGCACGATGGCGTAGTACCGGTCCACCGAGATGCAGCACAGGTGCAGGATGGACGCGGACGAAAAGTACACGTCCATAGAGTTCCACACGTCGCACATGAAGTAGCCGAACAGCCAGAGGCCGCCCGTCAGCTCGACGCTCGCGTTGAAGCACATGGCCATGATGGCGACCAGCATGTCGGCGAGCGCGAGCGACACGACGAAGTAGTTCGTGATGACGCGGAGTTTGCGGTGCCGCATCACGGACACGATGACGAGGAGGTTGCCGAAGAGCGCGGCGAAGATGATGATGCCCATGATGGCGCCCTTGACGGAGAGCAGCAGCAGCGCTTGCCACGGCTGCACCGCCGCCGCTACGTCCTCGCGCGTAACGGCGGACGAGGACGCTGACGATACCAGGACGACGCTGGCGTTCTCGAGCAGCGAGGCGACCGGCGACGCCGTCGTGAACATGCTCGGGGGCGTGAAGTTGAGGTCGGGCCACAGCAGCGTCGGCCCCGTCAGGAAGGCGTCGCCGTAGACGTCTACCGCGTCGGCCTCGGTCGACGACACGGTCGGGAGCGCCGGCGAGGGGTCCGACTCCAGCTCCAGCACGGCCATGACGTCCATGGTCTACTTGACCCCCGACGATTGCGTGGGCGCCCCGCCGGCACGCCGGGGACGCGGTGGCCGTCGGCGGGGCCCTGCTCGAGGCCGGCCGCGCTCGGGGGGCCGCATGGCGAGGCCTGCAACAGAGAGGTACATGTCACACAACACATCCCTCCGACCGACGTCCTCCCATAGCGTTTTCAGATAACGTGAATCCCCCACTGGAAAAACAGCTGTTTCGTGGGCTCCATCTAGCGCCTGCCAAATACACAGGTGTATAAAAGAGTCCTAGCAGGCGGGCGTTGCTACGCACACGTGTCGTCGCCGGAAGTTCCGCCTACTCCCCCACCTGTCTCTCACTCTCGTGTTTCATTTTTCCTCCTCTCGTCCGCACAGCGCGTCGGATTTTCGCTGAGCGAAGCTCAGTCCAAGTCGATGAGGGGTCAGGCGATGTGTCCGTCGTGAGTCTGTCACGTCTGTGTTTACGTTCCACTTTTTCTGGAAAACGGCTGGATCATGGACGGAATGCGAGTTTGACTAAACATCCATAATTCAAGGAAAACCAAGTGGGAGCTTTTCGTTTGTAAAGGTTTGATTGGAAATATTTAACTATTCAATTTGAAAAGCAGCGGCTTTTTGTTGTTACGTTGGCTAACCTGACTGAAGGCCTGCCCTGCCCCCCGGCTACTGCTGCACCACTTCACGACTTCAAATCTTCCTTACAAGTGATCAAATTGTCAGACGGTCAAACCGAGTGTGATGTTTCAAGTTTTAGAGTTGCGGAACTCGACCAACGAAGTTTCACGAGTGTCCGGCGAAAAGAAACGAAAGTGATATTTGGAATGGTTTACGTGTTTACGTACGTAAGTTGGAGGGGGAGGGGGACTGGTTCGGCAGAATTGTGAAAAGGTAACTAATGTTTCGGGTTTATCTTGACAAAAGAAAACGAAATTGTTTTATGCTCCAAGACGATCGGGATCGAAATGGCAGAGTTATTGTCCACCGAATTGCGAATTTGGTCACTTTTGCACACTTTTACCCATTTGGGGGCTAATAACTTTGCCATTTCGACTCTGATTAGCTTTAAGCATAGGACATTTCCTTTTTAATTTTAAAAAAGGAATCCAAATCTTGTATTACACTTTTAATTTTGTAACTTCTAAAAAATTCAAAATTTTCAATTTTGTTATTTTAACAAGATGTAATGGTGTTTATTTGTAGAATGATTAGAAATCACCTAATCTTTTAATAGGACATGTTAAAACGATAATTAAACACACAACTTATTTTCACAATAGGCATGGACCTGCAAGCAACCGAACAATATTAAAGCCAATATCGTTAACTCAGGTAGGATAGGCCCATCGAAATCAGAATAAGGTATATTGTTTTCTTAAATTGACTAGCTTTGTCTAGAGTCACATTATGTTTAATGATGTCCAATAAAATGGTGGGAGCATTGAAATAAAACTGTATGATACGATACATTATACATAGAACTTTCAATTAAATATACTTCAGTGACTCGTGATTCTTCAAATTTCTCGGAGAGAGTTGATAAAAATAAATGAAAGGGTGACAAATTATACTTTTTGTAGGAAAGAAGTTTAAATGTATTTTGAAATTAAATTAAATATGAGGGTGAGAGTTGATAAAAATAAATGAAAGGGTGACAAATTATACTTTTTGTAGGAAAGAAGTTTAAATGTATTTTGAAATTAAATTAAATATGAGGGTATTTAATTTTACTTCAACCAGAGGCAATCAAACAGAATTTCACCTTTCAAAAATAAGTGGAATTGGTTCAATTGAAATGTGGCAATACA